CTGCTTTAGAGAAAGAAAGCCAAGTTAAGAGAATACCAGTCAGTTAACTAAAGCCACATGGCAACAGTCATATGGGAACACAGGAGCTGCCCCACACAATGTTTTCAAGAAGCTGCTGCTCATGAAGATGCCAGCTGGACAGACATGAGCTGGTGAATAAACTGTGGAAATAGGCAGGAACTGTCTCCTCCCCTTATCTAACAGTGCAGGGTTCCAGCAGCATCAAGAAGCAGGAGCACACGCAAAGGCTGTTGGAGGTAGTAAAAAGGGTCATCCTGCAGCTTGACACTGTCCAATCACAGATCAGAAGGAAAAAGTCCAAGACAGGCAGGAGAAGCAGGACACTTTGACAGAGGTAGACAATGAGTGAAATAATGGAGGTTGGGTGGCAGATGGTAGTTAAAAGGAATCAGCAGAGACCTTGTAACCTTTTTATCTTTTACACAACTGAAGAACTCACAAGGACATGGGCTGATATGTGACACCCACAGCAAGTATTCCCTGCTGTGCTAGGATAGACCTAAATAACAAGGGGAAACAACCACAGGTCTTTGATGGATCAAGTGGCAGCAAGAGGAAGACTAAGGGTTCACAGCTCTCTTGATCACACCTTCAAGGACAGAGTGAAGGGGACAGCAGAGCCAGGAGGAGAGGCACTTGGCTGCATCATCACCTACAGGTAACCACATCCCACCCCACTTCAAGAGGGACAGTGGCAGAAATGCCACATTTGCACTTCCTTCTCTCCCCCCACAGTTGATTAAAAGAACTCAGGTGCAAGGATGGAGATGCAGCTGAGGACTTCTAATTAAAGTGGCTTGTTTGTGCAGGGCCCAGCCCCAGAACACCTGGGGCCACATTAGTCTAGGTCACTACTTCTGAGGCATCTCTTCCTTTTTTCATGTCTCACTAGAAGCACATGAAGCCAGCCCTGCACAGCAGCACCCTGTGCCACAGGGAAGCAAAGCAAGCACATTATGCTAAGCAGGCAATTGAAAAGCCCTAAGTCCATCCTCTAAATCACTGCTTGAAGCAGAGAAGCCATCCGGACATGCCTGTCACTAGGTTCTATGCAAGGAAGAGTAGCCAAGAGACACCCAGCTGATTTGCTACTACTGGCAGTGCCTGTTAATGAAGGAGGGGATACACAGTGATGGGAGACTGCCATTAGGAAAATTTTACATTTGGAGGCAAATTAAATTAAAAAATAAGGAGGTGGATGGGAAGAAAGCTGGTAATTCCCCAGAGAGACAGGCAGAGACTAGCAGGCATCCTTCATTACTGAAATCCTATGTGACTCTTACCATTCCTTCCTAGCCTCTCTCTGTAGCATGGTAACAAGGAAATGAGCCTGGGTCTCCAGAAACCTGAACATTCTTGGTCTGAACAAGCTCCTCCAAACTCCACAAAGCTAACAAGAGGTCAAGCACCACTGAGGCTGCTGCAGGTCCCACCGGAGCAATGAAAAACCACTGCACCTCTTCCCTGCAGCCACCAAAGAATGTAGCTGATGAGCAAGAAGTTGAAGGGATTCAGTGATAATAAAAAACATGTGCTGAGCCCTCAGTGGACTCAAAGAAAGATGTGGAAGCATTCCTTACTGGATGCTGCACCCAGCTCCAGGCAGGAAGTAGAGGACAGACTGCTGACTGCCCTTGCTTCTTGCTCAAAGTTTTACACTATTTCTCACTTGCAGCCATTTCTCCAGCTTCTGAAGCAGTGGGGGTTTGTTTCCTCTCTAAGCTTGCTGCAGGTGGTACAAACACAGTCTGCTTCCCTGCATCCAGGATGCACATCCTTGTTAGATGCAAATCCCCACAATTATAAATCCACACACACAGCACCAGTTGCAGTAGCATTAGGTTAATCCAGCTTCTAGTGCTTTGCAGTCCTCTGTCCACAGATCCCATGGGCATCAAGAGCCATGTTGCTAAGTAGCTGTTTTGTCTCACACAAAGAAAAAAAGCTTCTGCAGCTGAAGCAATCTTTAAGCTGATTTGACTTGCAGAAATGAGGGGATAACAGATGACCCATTTCCCTGGAAATAACCCTGGCATTTTTTCAGCCGCTGCACAAGTGTCTGAGAGCTTGGAGTCCAGTGCTCTCCACCCCAAGAGAAACAGAGCTTAGCAGAGCTCCAAAAAAATTACCAAGCAGATATGTTTACCTTTAAAGTAACAGGAGTGGTCAGCTATTCTGTGCCCTGCCCCAAAGATGGTGTTTTAGTTGCACCTCTTGGAGCTGTACAGAACACCAAGGAGGCAAGGAGGAGAGCTGCCAAGGTTCAAAGCATGCACAGGATGTCAAGTCTCATGCTTCAGCACTTACCAGAGAGCTGAGGGCCTGGCTGCAGCATTAGGGGCTATATCCACTAAGGCAAGGCTTCTATAGACACATACCTGCAAGAGGCATTTTTACAGGCAAGAGAACTACTTAAACACAAGAGGAGCCCACAGTGCTGAGACAGGAGACCCAGAGTCGCCCTGGCAGGTACAGCAATGAGGGCAAAAGGAAGCAGCAGGAAGCACAAGAAGGAAAAACAAGCCAGCAAAGGAGGGAGGGCCCTGGCACAGGACAGGAGACAGTAGGATTTAAGCACATTCAGCCAGAAGCAGTCCAGTCTGGAGAATCAATTATGGGAAGATAATTTGTCTTCTTAAGGCCCCTCCTCAGGGTATTGGCTAGTTGCTAGGGAGAGCAGAAAGTACTTGTTCTGGTCAGAGCACAATCCATGACTTACTACTGCAGTCCCTGCAGGGCAGTCAACAGGAGGGGAGGCTTAGCAGGCAGAGACAGACAACCACATTGCTTTTGTGCTTCTGACATTTTCCCTCACTTAACAACTGTCTGCACTCAAAGCCAAGTCACTCAAAAGGGGATTCCAAGAGACATTCAAACTCGCCCCTTGTCAAGAAAGTTGCTGTTGCAGTCACAGCAGGACAAACGGCACCTGAATGTGAGGCCCGGCAGAGGGAGCGGTGCTGGCTCAGACATGCCCTCCAGTGGTCCCCACTCCAGCTTGGTTCCATCCCAAACTGGAAGCATTAAGGCTTATTTCTTGTAACTTTACAATAGGAAGGTCAGAGGAGGCTCTGCACAGATTCAGATAAGGTTTGGGGCCAGGGAGGTGTCCCTGTGTTTATGTTCCCTTTCCCTTCTCAGCCCTCCCCAGGATCTGCCATAGGTTGACAGCACTGGAAAAGAAGATTTCCAGAAACCACAAGCTGCATTTGCACAAAACAGGAAATGAAGTCATTACAGGCTTGCTTCTATGGCTCTTTATTCTGTATTTCCCCACACTTCCAAAAAATCCTATTCTAAACCAATACAGGCCAGGGAAGGCTTCTGTTTCACCTCTTGAATCAGCCTGTTCTTTGTACAGGGGACTGTTTCCTCTATTTACACTCAAGATTGATTCTCCCATCTTAACCTGACCAAAATGAGTGCACTCCTCAAATGTGCATCCGATGCGTGGTTTTGCTAGTACAAGTATTGAATATCAAATGCTCAGATAAAATACCTAGCATGGCCAAAGGGAGTGCAGGAGACTGCACAAGGGAGACCTGAAACTTGCAGCTTCAAAGCCAGTCAGGGCAGTCCCTGACAGATTTTATAAAGGTTGAGCTCTCTTTTGTGGTAGATTGTGCTACACAACTGCTGGTGGTTGGTGACAAATTACAAAGAAATACAAAGAAGGACACATTGTTTTTCCAGGAGAGCTGAAGAAATACAGCTCTCAGGCAGTCTGAGCTGATAGCAAGTATCCCTTGGATTACCAGGAAAAGGAAGGCTATCCCAGTGCCACGCAGACTGCAGAATGCACAGTTCACAAATGCAACTATTGCAGCAGTTGAGAAAACAGAATCTCTGCTACAAGCAATGATTAATTATTCTTCACAATCCTGTCTCTGGGGCCCTGATATTGGAGTGAATCTTTAAGTGAAGGCCCCTTGGAGAACTTGTGTGCTTTCAGACCAATTATAAGTCATCGGTACATCAGTGTCTGCTGTTCAACAGTACAGACAAGCACTACACTCCTTATCCCTTCTGTGATCCACTGAGGAATAGTCTAGCTGATGTATTGTAAACATTTAGTAAGTAATACATGAGGCTCTTTTAAACCTCTACGTCTGAATGTAAGTTAGCCCATGCTGTTCCTACCTCTCTACTATAAGCACTTGTAAGCTCAAATGCACGCTTACAGGTGCAGCCTCAGCTGTGCACAGTGCATTCCCACAGGAAGCACAAGGACACACAGAAGCCTGAACAAAGGGCTGCTAAACCCAGAGCAGGAATCTGTGGGCTTGAGAATCAACCGGGCAGGCCATGAGGTCTTTCCACCTCATGCTCCTACAGGGAAGCACAGCTACAGATTTGCCAGTCTTGACTGTATCCATGGAGGGCTGCCGCTTGCACTGATGCACATTTATTCACTTGTATTACCACATGCTCATGGAGGGTTATTAAGTTTCCAAGATGCACACGCAAAGCAAAGCTACAGAGGCAATGTCACACCCTCTCCACAACTGCAGAAGGGCCTCGCAACACTGGGGCTGATAGAGGCATTCTCACCTGCCACGGGAGCTCCTGCGGTGCTGCAGCCTCCTCCGAGGAAATTGCATGTCCCCATGTACCCACACTGCTTTCAGGGACTGGCTGTGCCACAGGTGTTCACGACGCTACAGAAAGCCAGATAGGAAGAGTGGGGACCTTCATATTGGTGGTTAATTCTTAACCCACCCTGCTCCTCCCAAGCTCAAAAAGGCACTTCTAGACCCACTGAGCAGATGACTACAGGAGGTCGTACTAGGGCTCCTATATCCTTAAAGCTAGATGTGTTCCAAAGGACAGTAAGACTAATATCATTTAAGGTACTAGGTTTTCCTGCTTTACACCAACACACACTTTTACTTGATCTTGCAACATATCCCCATCAGCTACTATAGCCCCCACAGCTCCAGCTTCTCACAGCACTCTCACAAACCCACAGTCCACCGTACAGCCCATTCCCTTTGCAAACCCAACAGCCCCATAGCACAGCTTTGCCTGCTGTACAGCTTACCTACCTCCTCCTCGCTCCACTTGCCAGGCAGACAGCAAAAGAAATGGCTGAAACTCTCTCTTGATTTCTTTTAGCACCCTTATGCCCTCCCTGCCTTCTCACAGCTGAAGCAGATCCCAGATGATCTGCTGACCACAGAGACCCAAATAGGCAGCAACTGGTGCTGCTTACTGACTAAGGGCTGCTTAGGAAGGCTTTTAAAGGGACATGCAGTAAATCCACCCCTGGAGTGCAGTTTGCCTGTAGATTGTTTCCCTGATAAAATACCCATTTCTCAGCTTTTTAACACTGCTGTCCTCTGCAGTACCTCAGCAGCATAGTCTGCTTGCGAAAGACCTTGGCATTCACCTTGAGAGGTGGCACACAAACAGCCCCACATAGTCCAAACTACTGCACTTGAAAAGTTTTCTTGCCTTGGTTAGTTTTGCTTTCCACGCACATACAGACAAACCCTTTGAAATGTGCTAATGGAAGACACTTTAGCATCCTATGCTTAGCCAGTTCTGGCAAAGTTTATGTGGAGTGCTGAGAATATATAGAAAAGCCCCAGGACCAAGTCTGCCCAGAAGCATAGTACAAACCTTGTGCCTGTTTCCCAAATGAGCTCCATTAACCCTTTGCTTAACATTCTAGCCCATGTTCTTAATGAGTTCTCCCCCGTCCCAACTTGGAAGACAGATGGAGGACAGCAGTCCCCTTAATGATTTCTCTCTCTACCCCTTTCCATTATTAGCCTGAAGACCAGCCTGCAGAAGAAAGTGTGCCAGGACTCCATGGATTTGTCAGGGATTCCTCTGACCATGAGGGATGTCCACCGCATGGCCTACTACCTGCAGAACAATGGGGACCACCTCACCTCTGTAGACCTGAGCTTCACCGAGCTGAATGATGACATGGTGCGCCTGCTGCTGCCCTTCCTCTGGGCACTACCCAGGCTCACACACCTTTCCCTCAATGGCAACCGACTGACACGGGCAACCATGAAGGAGCTGACCGACACCATGAAGGACATGAACAAGTTTCCTTGCCTGGCCTGGGTTGACCTCGGCAACAACGTGGATGTCTCCTCCATGCCACAGCCACTGCTAGTGGGCCTGCGCAAGCGCCTCAGCCAGCGGACCACGCTGCCTACCATCTATGAGGCGCTCGACTGCGACTCTGAGATCTCCAGCGGGCACGAGGGCAGCCAGCCAGAGGAGGATGCAGCAGAGAGCACCCCACCACGTGCTTTCTCTCAGCAGGGCTGTGAGAGGTGACTGGACAACAGGCTGATGCTGGCACACTGAAGCCTCCCCAAGGAGAAGTCTTGACTAAAAACATCAAGCAGAGGGCCAGCTTTACCATCTTCCTTTGGCTCTTTTCTCTCACCTTCCCTGATATCTCCCCCAAAACTTGCAGTGATACAAAAGCCTGTCATCCCCACACAACATGCTCCACTCCCTCCCCTCACTACCAAATCCATCACCCATGTTCCAGAGGAACCAGTGACTTACAGTGAACCTGGTCCCCAGGCAGGGTCTCACTGGAAGACGGGAAAAGACCTGTCGGAGTCAAGAATATCCTCCAGCAGCCATTGGGTTGAGGGAATTGGATGGGGGGCACCTAAAACAGAAACAGGCTTGTAGTTTTCTTCCTTTTCCTATGCACCTTGGGACCTGCAGCCTTGAGTGTGAAAGGAGGTACCCCAAGAGCCTAGCTGCTGTGGAGCTTAGTGGAAGGGCTCAGAGACCAGAGCTGGAGCCCAGCAGTGTGTCTCCCTCTTGTGTCTGGCTCCTTTTGTTTTGTTTTTTTCCTATTGTGTGTTTTGTATTAACATCTGAATAAAGGGACCTGGTCAGAGACCATTGGATTGCATAGGCTGGGGCGGATACAAGGCTTGGAACTGCAGCATCAGGACATTTGCTGTGTGACCGGGGTGAGAGGGAGGGGAAGGAGGTATGTGTTGGTGGGAGCATGGGGGATGGGATGAGTTTGGATGGGATGGGAGGAGGGGGGAGAAGAGGGAGGGGGAACAGTCTTGTGGGTTAGCAGGATTGGTTTCAAAAAACTGTGCTTTGGTACTAAAATTAAGAGTTTCAAGTGAAATGGAGGAAAAGCAGACAGCTAAGTATGTAACTCTGGCACTAGAGGAGCAAGCAGTGAGTGTGCCAGAGATGGGCACTTCCCACACTAAAGCACAAAGCTTTGGCTCCTCATGGCACATTGCATACCTCGTAATACAGAGGACATGAGAAGCTGCATCACCATTTACAATGCTGTCCAAAACCCAAACCACTGATGCAATATTTCTAGTGTTTTCCACCTTGCTCTATGTAAACATAATAAACAGTTCTCTTGGACATGACTGTGAAGCACTATGGAGTCTCAGTATCTGGGTTGTTCACAAATGGAGCCAGCAGCCCAGACACCAGAAGGGTATGGACCAAGAGTCCCCATGCAGTGCCTGAGCACTGTGGGAGAGAACCAGCACATACCATTCACATTGGTGAGAGAGGTTCATTCCTCTAAGCAAAGTGAAACATGGGTGTTCATTTGTGGTAGTCTGCTGCCCTTCGTCTTGCATGGTGCTGATACAAATAAAACGATCAGGCTTTAGCTGATTTGCCAAGTCCTCTCAATTATCTCTCTCACCACAGGAATTCAGAGAGTAGATTAATTTTTTGAAGAGTTAAAAGTTAATCAGACATATTAGAAACTCATATAAATCCTGGCCCTCCTGAATTAACAATGGTAACTTCATCTCAACACACATACAAGCAACTCTCATTACTAAGGCACAGAAATTCACATGAAATAGATAAACCTTTCATCCTCACTGATTTTACACACCACAAGAAGCAAACAGGCGATATTTATCAGGTGATTTACCCCCTTTAGATGAAGAATGCGAGGGCACTGGAAGGTAATGGTGTCTCTTATCAACTGCCAAACACCCCAAATAAATCCAGTCTCCTGGGTTTAGAGACACTGCCAGATGCTGCAAACGCTGGACCCAGTCCTGTTGACACTCATCACAGAAGCAAGACCTCAGAACCTTCACATCACTAACTTGCAAACAAAAGTGGTGTAAAGTCTCTGTCCTGCTGACCAAAAGGAGCACAAAATAAACCAAGATAAAGCAAATATATCTAGGGCCAGGTGCTAGTTGCCCCATCCCAGTACAGGTGGAAGAGAAAAGGCTCTGAGATAGCCATAATATGGTGACTAGCCAGGAGGATGGGGAACAGGGAGTGCAAGGGTAGCCAGGCCCCAGCACAATCCAAGATGGGAAGGGACTACATGCACAGTTGTCACCCAAACCCACCGTTTAGCCCTTCTAGTGAATCTGGAGAAGTGAAATAATTTCTATGGCAAACACTGTACTTGGGGAGCATGAGGTTGTTTTGCAAAATGCTCAAGAGGCCATTCCCATTATGGGGGAAGGGCCGTGCTTCTTCCAGAGGTCACCGCCTGCCTCTCTTCTCACAGCTCATTTTTCTCTTCCTGCTGTTATATCCTTTTCCTCCCCTGCTATGGGATAGATGATATTTTTCCTCTTTTTTTCCTTACAAAATACCTTTCAGCAAAAAATGAAAAGCATTTCAAATGTCAGGAAGATCTGCTTAAACTCTTATAGTCTAAGCAGAGCAGCATTGTGCCAAGAAGAAAACTCAGGCACAAAGCATTCAAATGAAGACTTAGATCTGCATGGTGAGTCAGTGGCATATCTAGATAGAGGGAGAAGGGGTGCTGAGCATTCAGTCTTTGGCTGGCAGCTCCAACTCTGTAAGGCATCATCACAGCTTTTCCATAATAGTAGCAGCCCCCAAAAATAAGGCAAGACCCCCATCATGCAGCACAGCACTGATGCAGCTCTTCCCTGCAGAGCCCCTGGCACAACCCCAGGGAGGATCCATGCAGCCCATTTCCAGCCCTGCTGAAAGTTCTAGGTTTCGTCTGAGCTGTGCTAATCAGCAGAATGAAGATGAGATATTCAGCCCCTCACAAGGGAATTCTGTGCTAATCACTGGCAACGCCTGGCAGCCAGTTAGCAGCTCCAGGAGCTGGAGATAAAGCAGGGCTTGACAGACTGGTTCAGCTGAGCAGCTGTGGGATCCATGTTTATGCCTCCATATGCACTTAGTTGCTTTGCCATAGAAACTTCCCCATGGAAATCTGGTTGTGAATAAATACATGCAAATGCAAAATATGAGGTGCTGGCCTAGGAAACTGTCACTGTATTTTGGATGAATCCAAATGGGCTGCACCCTGGCTGTGGAGAAACCATCACAGCATGCCCAGCCATTCCCTGCTAGCTGCTGACTGCCTTGACAGGTGAAGGACTGCAGCAACACAGTGATGTGTATCCAGCTCGAGCTGTGAAGCATCCCAGTGCCTCCCTACAGATGAGATGCAGGCCAAATACAGAGAAGGCTATTTTCATAAAAATTGAGTTCACAAACCAGAGAGGATGAGGCAACCTGAATGAGCCTTTCCTTACACTGAATGAGAAAGCTCAGGGCTCTGAAAAGGGATGAAAGGGATGAGCTGCTAATATAGGACTCCTCGCTGATACCCAGAGGGAGCAGCTTTGTTATGCTCCTAATTCAAGGGATGCCTGCTTTGTAGTGAGCCTCTGTCTCCTGCTAGATAACACGGCAGAAGAGATTGATCTGTGTCACATTGAATACTCAGCACTGTACTTGCTGATGCAGGGCTGTAACCTCAGCTACTTCAAACAGCATATACACCTCAGTGTCAAGACTCAAACAGCAGGCTATCCTTATCATCTGCAGTTTCCCAGCCTCCCTCCATCTCTGTGCAGACTGCAAATGTTTAGCTTGGGACCTATGTCATGTAGCAGAGCAGAATGTACAGCTGCACAGGGTAGTATCACAGCCCCATTCCCCACCCCTGACCTCCCACCAGGAGATCAGTCTCACAGCAGATTTCAAAGTAAGACATTTAAGCACACCTTTCAAAAGAAGTCTTCTGGAAGGAGATGGGTACAAAGCTGTGCCATACCTCCCTACCATCTTATTTTTTCCAGGCTTTATAAAATAAACCCCAGAAAACCCTCTTTCTCCTGGGGTTGCTTGGTCTCTTCTCAGATCTACAATCACATAGGACCAGGGTATGAGACAGCAAACTCCCATCTCCCCCAGCCTGTGCTGAAAGCAGCTTCCTACCCAGTACCCCTCACAGCAGGCAGCTTTCTGCCTGGCACAGCACACCCTCTTGGGAAGCTCCCAGGGCCAAGGGAGATGGCTACCTGCAGCATGTCACTTGAAAATGTTGGGTCTTTGCATAGGGTCAAGGCAGAGAGCTCTAGCAGAGCCAGCCCACTAAGCCCAGCAGCAGAAGATGCACATTCCTGGGGGCACTGAGCAGAAGAAGAAAGACTGAAAAGGCCAGACCTTTTCAGTTACTGAAACAGAAATTACTTGTTCCCTCCTTACCTAACTAAACAATGCCTTCTTCACTCCTCATCCCTTCATTTTACCTCACCCTCTAACCATAAAACTCAGGGTAACCGTCTTAGCATCCTCCAGGTAGCAATACGCTTAGCCACCACAAGCCTCGCTCATTCCTGTGACTCTGTCTAAATAGCTCATATTAAGTTTGTTGAGGCAAGGATGCAAAAAGTGGCTGGAAGCACAGGCTTGTCTGATCTATTTTTATTTCACACACACTTCAAAACCTGTCAAGGCCCTTATCTTCTTTGCTGCCAAGGCTCTTTTTTTAACTTACAACTCAATCCTCATCACATACACTTGGAAGATAAAGGAGTTTGCACTGTTTGGGGCAGGCTGACATGTTCCTTAGTGGACAGCTGCTGACAAAGATGCAAAACACTGATTGTTTAATCTTAAGAAAGCAAACAATCACAGCTCAGAAGAAGCAATGCTGTGTTTCAGTATGAACTCTTATCACTACAGTATCTTGACAGCACAGCAGGTGTAACAGCCTTCAAGGGCAGCTGGCAGAAAGCCCAGACATCCCAGCTCCCAGCAGTTAGGGATGGTTATCAATGGGCAAGAGAATCTGTTTTGCAGCTTATTGGCATTAAACAAGTGCTCTTGAAATAGATGCAACAGCTGGTTTAAGGCTGCCAAGAGGTAGTTCACAAAACAAAATAGGCTGGAAAAATCTTAGCTCAGGCCAGCGCTCCAGGAAGCCATGACTGCATCTTGATCTGCTCTGAGAGACTGAGTGCTTTCTTAGGAATCTCTTCTGTTCCTCTCTAACTTGATAGAATTCCAGTTCAGTGATGCTGATTCAAAACCCAAATAGCCACAAAACACATTAACCGCACACTACAGCTTCCCCAAGAGAATGAAGAGGAAATCAGCTTTTCTTCCACAAGCATTTAGTCCCTTTTCCCAAAGATCAGTACTCCCTCTGCTGCATC